CTTGTATCACACACTCTGTTTTGTGAATCTTTTCATTTCGAAGTCTTGGAAGTCAATCATTAGCTTATTTTATTCCACTCTAAGAGATGTACCAATAGGTCTAATTTTTCCCAGTTAGCGTAATGATAATACTCAGACAGCAGACAGCAGAATTGAATATGAGCTGGACTAAGGACTTATTTAGTACGAAATGGGCAGCTGATGTTCGTTTGCATCAGACAAGCAAAAATAATCAGGGTAAACGTGATAATAAGGAACACAGTTGAAAACCCATAAGAGCAAAAGACGTGACATAAAAGAATCTAACGGCGATACTTCGTATTTGACCGATAACAGCGTGCGTCTTTAACAGTCAGGTAGTTTTCGCTTGAGTTCAATCGGTTGTGGGATAAAAATTACAATAAATTTATCTCTTGGTACATAGATATAGATTTCAAGAGAGAATGAAGGAGTGCACTGGGTTGTAAAATGTTTATCATCACCTTTCGATCCAAACTAGAACTCGTCAACCGTAAATGAAGTGAACGAGATGGCCGCACTTCCGTGGGCTTGTGTGCTATTTGTGCCTCTATGAGTCCACCAAGTGCGAGTGCGATGTAATGTTTGCCTATCTCGACGTGTCGGTTAAACGAATCGACCGAGTGTAGTGCTTCGAGAATTAATCATTCCCCATTGTTCTTAGCTCGCGCCACCACATTTGAGTTGTCGATCTCGTAACCTGTCCGTGCGTAGTCGTCCAAGATTTGTGACCTCGGGTCTGCAGGTCGGAGGGTAAGCTTGTGTTCATGTAGGCGAGTGTGTTATTGTTTACCTGTCTCACCTATGTAGTGTTGTTTGCAGCCCATGTACGGGGTTGCCGAGATTACTCCTGATCGTTCGTGCTGTTCGTCTCCATCCTTACCGTTGAGGAGAAACGATCTCTCGGTTGTTGCTGGTTTATATATATATTTATACACTTTCTCACACGTCTGAATCCAGATTGTGTGCCAAACAAATCATGGTACAATAGTCTATGAAAAAGAAAGACGTTCCATGATTCGCATGCGGGTGGAATACTGCCAGG